ATGCGGATAACACCGATGAAACCGTTCAGAACACGGGAAAATAGGGATTCACACAAAACGCGGTAACTTAGCAACCGAGCACACGCCTTGTTACTAGCAGGAAGCCAAACTTTTGCATACTTCGCCATTCGATCTGCCATTGCTTCCTTTTAAGAGTAAGAGCCGAGTGAGATAGCCCAACGTGTAACAGGAAGGGTCTCACTGGATGTTTCAAAATAAACTTCCCAGTAAGTTTACTGCTCTTTTAGGATTTGAGGTATTCGCAGCAGTGAGTCCGAAGATGGCTGTCTGCTGGGTTGCAGCGCAGACTGGGCTACCAGACTACACGGCGCTACAGCCCAGAGGACGGCCAGCCATCTTTCTACTGCACTTCGTTTCCAGAATATCAAGGCCAATATTTAAATGTAAACATCTTCACTTGGGAGGATGACTATTCGGTCATTTGCCGAACAGCACAGAAGATATCGTAGGTGTGATAAATGATGAAACAATAGAAGCGTATTTCAAGGTATTATCTATAATAACACTGCAGGACCAAAAAACTAAGATTCATCGGGAAACGTCCCGGTTCGAGGCCCGGATTTCGAACACGAGGACTCGTGGTTTTAATTGTCTGCCTAGGTCTTTAACAAGTAAACCCGAACCTCAGGACTGTGCCCGGAATAAGTCACCTCTACTTCCTTACTTCCTCCTGATGACTGCGCATAATCCTTGGCTCTTCCACACAAACTATAATAAATAGAGTTAACAGATTTGTCAAGTAGCATGCACAGCTCATGAAGGTGTATGGATATGTAAGGAGACAACGAACGGAAGAACAGACGGGCAATGTAATACCACAAACTGTTCACTTTACACTCAGAAGGAGGCTAGAGCTCACCCAATAACAACGCCATATTAAAATAGCTAAGAGCCTCGATACCCGTGTAATCAAATTATGCTGCCATTGTGCAGAGTTATCCCAATCGCTCAACTAGTCAAAGTAATTACCCGCCTTTTATGGAACGCAATGGTTCATTGCCATGTTCACAACAGCCGGCAACTGAACCCAACTTCAAGCAAAGTCATTCCAGTCGACATCCGCACATCCCAGTTCTTTCAAATCCATTTTAATATTATCTTACAGTGCACGCTTAGGCCTCCCAAGTGGTCTCTTCCTTTCATGTCTTCCGACTATGTTTCTCAAGCTTTCTCTTCTTCTCTCAGAATACATGCGTGCTACATTCCCCGCCCATCTCACTCTCCTTGATCTGATCACCGTAACATAACATTTAGTGACACGCGCAAATTAGAAAATATGAAACTCGTTACATAGTTCTCTTCAACCTCCTCTTGTTTTCTGTCTCCTTGGCTCACTTGTTTACCTCAGAACCGTTCTCAAAATTAAACCTATGTTTTTATCTGTGTACTACATACTGATTCTCACTCTCACAAAGAATAATAAGTTTACAGGCGACCAAAGATCAGAATCTAAATCTGTTACAAGCGGAAATTACCAGTCCTCTGTGCCGAATTTTCTGCAACTAAACACAGTGAAAAGTCGCCATTTTAAATTATATAATACGAAAACTGATTCAGTTAGTGCAGGAACGACAACTAAATCGACAGGAACGACAATTAAATCGATATGTGATATCGATGGCGTGGAAAACCGTCGTGATAATATTCAGGACAGTATCTACAGGCCTGCTCAACCTATTACAATTAAAAATCGCGAACTAAATATGAGGTTAGCAGTGTCTTGCGTTACACTTGCAGATAAATTGTCACTGGTTATAAATAAATACAAAAACAAATAAATACAAACAACAAATAGCAACATCTCCATTAGCCTCGCTAGGAGTTGGATGTTCTTCAGAGAACGAACGTGTAAAAATAGACAATGACCTCGTTCGACTTTCCCAGAGACCGGCAGCTCGGCTGCTCTGGCTTTCCTCAGTCCCTCCACTTGGTACAATATTCAACAAGATGGTAACTGCTTCCTGTCCGATCCTTACCTGCTTTTGTACTGGAATGTGTGCTATTGAAAATTTTGTGAAATGAACTATGAGACATTATTTAGAATATTGTTCCAAATTCCCATCAAGCTTAACAGTGCCAAAGACAAATCTGGGCGTATCTCTATTTATACTCCGCTTATTTAAAAACGTTTCACCAACTTCATGAGTTATGTAGCATCCTAAAACATGATGACACTGAATGGACAATTGAGTAGAATGTGGAAGCTATATGGGACTACGAAGTTGGAGTTAGAACCAACACAAGCAAAGAGAGTGGTTGAAGATGGTTTACGTAGAACCAATCAGTACTTCCACGCTCATAGCACATGTTCTTCCAGCTTCTATGTCTGTTCAACGTTTACGCTAATAAAATATTGCACAATAATCGCACATATTGCTGTTAAATGATTTATGAAACAAACATAAACCAAATTTTGGAACCAAAAGTATTAAACGTTCCTCACAATATGACGAACATTCTTTAATAAGTTGTCTCTAAATTGCTAAATTTTCAAAGGTGATGGAAATTCGTAGCAAATGTACAAAAAACCAGATCAGAAACCTCCGAAAGGAGGCCCCTATGCTCCACGTAGGACAGAACAGTGAAGAAGAAGAATGAATTGATAATTGCTAAATTCATTCAGCATAGACGGCAAAGTTAATAATAGAAATGTTGTAGTGCTTAGTACTCCTCCTTCATATTCAGGAACCACCTATCCTGCCAGCAATTTCGTAGTTTTACTCATTCGCGTAATGTAAGTGTTACTGGTCTCGACAGCCTCCTTCCCAGTCCACAAACCATTCGTATCATCCTACAACCTAAGGCGATGACAAAGCGTCCTTGTGTAAGGATAAAAACATCCCATAGGTTTGTCCAGATTTGTTCGGTGGGAAATTTGTCTCCACGAACACTGGCGGTGCGCAGTGTCACTTGTCAACAGGTGACCGACCACACTCCTGCTACAGGTCGCCTGCGGAGGTCAACACGAACGCGGACGACAGAAACATTTCGCACTTCCCACATCTACACAATAACCAAGTCTTGTTCTTTGATCGTTTATTGTTAGGGGATTTACGAATATGCGTGTTCTTCTAGACGCCAAAACATAATGGCGATGGCATGCTTTAGTCAACCTCCAAATTGCCTACGTTGGGCGACTTTTCGGACATGCATTTCTTTGAATTGCCGAAATACGTCTACTGTTTATTTAAAACCTTCAACAGACTCTGTATTATTCTTGGCTGACGAGAGTTCAACGAACATCAAATTAAGAACGGGTTTCAAGAACGCTGATGTTGAAGCCCGAATACTCTCATACCTGAAGTACGAGCAATATTTATTTCCAAACAGTTCCTATAAACAAATTCCAAAATAATCGGGAACTGTCGCTCAACAAAATGAGCCATCAGACTAACACCCACATCAACTGCACACTTCATTTCATAGTTCACTTACTCTCTTATCGCCCTATGTACATTCATTGCATACACAAATTTATTCTTGCAAAGTTTATCAGCAAACTCTGCAGGTAACACGCAGCGTGGAAGCCTATTAATCATTTTCCCTGTATTTAATAAATTTATATGTAGTAAAATATTTTAAACAAACGTTATAAATCTTAATGAGGCATGCGCCAACCTTTTACATGATAAACAGGTTTCAAAAATATAGCTACATACACATTTCGATTTACATTTCACTGAAGGGCAGATTTTACTCGAATACGCTTAGTATAAACCACGTTTAATCAAATGAACTGACAATCGAGAGGGCAGACAAAACTTCAAGAATGTTATTCAAATCAAAAGTAAACGGCTCAAGGCACGGGCGAAATATAATGTATTGAACTAAAATGTTTACATATTTGGGCCAGAGTCTGAATAACAAAACTGAAAAACTAACACCAGGTTACGACAGCGATTTGAAATGGTATTAAAGTTAACTACAAGTTCAAAACACGAAGAGACTCGGGTATCACTGATTCACTAGAGGACTTAAAATTCACTTAGTTTGTAACTAACACAACTGTGGCTTCTCTATCAAATACCATCTCCACCTAAATTTTCGCAGTCTTCTAAGTGTAACGGTTGTAGCGTCGTTACAGCCTCTTTATTTAAAAAAGGGGTGTACTGCTGGGAAGCTTTATGTGGCGTATCCAATTTCGTAAAGCACAGGAGACGTGACAACAATGACAGGCAACAAGTAATGGAACGAAAGTCCCCGCTAGACAAGAGACGGCTGGTCTAAATTCAGCCCCGCCGAGCAGTGCTTGGATTGTAAATTTAAAGAACGTGCAACGCACGGACTGGACTAGCCCACCGTAGCTGAGACGGAGGGGAGTTCTCGGGCTGCACATTGGGGCAAACTTATTCGTACATTTGTACGTCTGCGAACAGCTGTGTATAAAGAGAATCTTGTTACCACAAAATGGGTCAAAGAAGGGTCCAGAAGCAGGCCAATTAAACGAAGTAATTTGTTAAAGGTCCTGGAGGGACAGAGAAGGGACATGACGGACAACGCTGAGAGAAACCATACGTTCGTGTCTATAGCAGAGATTATGACTGCCTTAATCGAAACTACATGACTGACTGTGTGTACCGAAACGAAAATGGTGAAATGAAGGTTTGGAGTCGTAGCTCATTTAAAAGAAATTTGACTATTCTCTGTGTATTCGCTTGGTGGGAGTGAGCAAAACCGTGAAAAATACTGCTCGAGAATCGAAACGGATATTTCTCGAACATGAATAAAATATTTAGCGCTACCAACATGTTAAACGGATGCAATTCAAGGTACTCCTGCTAGGTTTTCTGGGATACCTGAATACAACCACGAATAATCCCACCAAAGCCAGTCGGTGCTGTAGTCCAGATATGAGATGTGTTCCTCTTCAGAGTGATACTCACCGTGGCTGTGCTGGATGAACGAGGGAAAAGCAGATTTAAACGTGTTAAAAATTGGGACTGACAGTATGTAGCAACATACTAGGAGACGGTCCCTACCTTGGCCAAGTATAGACGCCAGACACTTCAAATCCGTAATGCCAAGAGCCCGAGTAGGCCCCCTGCCCTTTGGGCCCCGTACACACACCATGGCCGTGCGCTTTGCCATCCTCCCAACCTCCGCAGTAAGTGCCCCCGTCATCGAAGTCAAAGCGACCGCCGTTCACCAGGGTCTTTGTGGTGGTAGCAGTGCCAGTAGCCCCGGTGGACGCGGGCGATGGGTTGGGACTCGAAGCACTGTTCACTTGGTTCTCTTGCTGCATTTTATATACCAGAAGATTTTAATTTATACTAAAAAATCTTTTTAAAAAATAACAATTTGAAAAATTAAAACTTGTATAGATCACCGTTTTAAACACGTATGCCTGCCCATATTCGTGGCGGTGACGAATACCACTTTCTCACATGTCACACAAACACGTAAACATCAGCTCGCCATCGGTCGTTTCGCACACTCCGACGCTCCCGGCGGGAGTCACGATTCCAACAGAAACGATACCCCTCCGCATCACGGTTCAACTCGTCCCCCTTTAATAGCCTCGTCCACAGGAACCAATGACAAACTCCTACCTGCGCTAGATTGCAAGAATCGCTGAGACGGCGCTGTCGAGCAACACGTAATAGTTCGTTCGATGTTGTCAAGAGGGCAGCACCAAATTGTTGCAGAGTTTACCGCACGGCGCTACATCACATGCCGCATTATTTTGACGCAGTAGCGCATTATTCACTAGTTAAATGCAACGCCACGAAGCCGAGGACAAGAATCAACAAAGTCCAAAACAATGCACCGTAAGTTAAGCGGGTGCTGAAATCGCGATCATGTCCCCACGTTATGGTTATGACATGAACTAGACCCAAATGATGCAAAGAAACCAATTATCGCCTACAACTCCTGGGAAACGATTGCTACTTGAGCGAACAGGATAAATTCTGTGAAGACAACGCTGAGAGGAAGCAAGAAATGTAACACAATCGCTTTGCACGAGACAAGCTTTCTGTTGACGTAATGCATTTTACAACTACGAAGGACTAAAAAACGACGTCCGAAGGATTACAAGAGGAAGACAATTTTAAACTCTATCGAATGCCAATTAACTACTCCTTACCAGACTATCTTCCCTCTAATCTCTTTCAATGTTCAATAAAAACAAGGTATATTATGAGTAACAAATAATATGAACTTTCATGAATCACCAAATACACGGAAGAGTACCTTGGATTCCGTGAACAAAAACAACATGGCCACGTTGCGAACTTTTGAAGTGGGGACAACTCTAGTCAACACAGTACAGGCTCGTATGACATTTTGAAGAAGAAGAAGAAGATCTTCTTCTTCTTCTTCAAGCACTGAGACTAGCCTATTGCGACTGCATTTTGGTTTATATATTTAATTTTAAGCCCTACTAAATGTTGCAAGTTAATAGAAATTATAAGAAAATAAAACTATAATTAAAATCAACTTTTAGACATGAAAAATAATGACTACTCGAAATATCTAGGTGAAATGATGGAGTTAAATCTCGGCCATCATATTCTTGAAATTTGGCATACAAAAAATATAATTACACTGTTATAATTGGAAGTGAAAGTTGTATGAGAAGTATTGAAACCTATCCGGCCAAGTTCTTGGGACCCCTAAATGCCTCAGGCCACAGACGTGCACTTTTTAAAATAACGCCATATAAATATTTAGATACGCGACCTGGAGATTTCTGCAGACTCAACGCGTTATAATGTGAAATCAATGTAACTGATTCTCGCAATTAATCAGCGAGCAGATAAAATTCTTACGTAGTCGTGACGTGGGAGCAATAACAAAAAGCATCATTAGGCATGACTCGACGAGTCACAAGACGTCACAACCGTACCACAATATTTTACGTCTTGATAGTAAGATGATATGTTAATAATTTGATTGCAAAATTTTTGTCATTTTTCACTGCATTGATACAGCGTCATTAAATTAAATATAACTAGATCTCGATCATGCACAGGCCGGCATAACAAATGATAATTTCTTCTTAATTTTAGGTGTAGTATAGAGTAGAAGTTCCTTACGGGTAGATCTGTCTTTCCGTGATCGGCTGAACTCTCAGCGAGTGGAACTTGGTCAAATGTAAAAATACAAGAATTAAACAATCTCATTCAGGTATAAACCTACAAATGACAATTTCTGATCGTTTCGGCGAATGAGGACTGCATGATATAATACATTGTTTTTTTGGTTTATTTAACTATGCTTTACCAAATGTATATGTTATAAAGCCTCAAGATGTAAAATATCGAAGTTCGACTTCTGGGTTGGACTTACAGGCAGATACATTTCGGATAAACATACTATCTTCATCTTCAGGGCTAAAGATAGGACAATATGTGTCTCCAAAACGTCCACATGACGTTACAAGCCAGAAGACCAACGATGACATCTTTACCACAGATGGAACCTACGTACAACGTAATTGTAGAATGACTGTAAAACTTGCAAGAACTGGTCGCGGCCTACAACTTCCATTCGATAAGGCACTCAGCATTACATTTGATGTTACTTATGAACGGAGACAGGACAATGGTAAGGTGTGTTTAAAGGCAGAAGGCGTCACAGGTTCTTAGAAGAAGGAAAAAAGAAAGCCATCTGGCCACAAAATAATTTTCACGTTTTAAATAAAGTGACAAACAAAATTTCACAACAGCCCAACATTTCAAGCCGCTAAACTTTTTTATCTCTGCACTATGTGGAGAAGAGTGGAGTGGTTGCTTTTATCCAAAGAAGAAGCCCAGAACGCTCGGTGGGGCATACTGGTGACACAAATCCCTGCCTTAAACTGATTCTAAATTCTAACTGAAGTACCCCAACTAATATTTAATACATCCGGTATTTTATTAAAACAACTACGTCGTACGACAGATACATAATCATACGTTTCAGTGTTTCATATCTATTTTGTTGATGTCACCACCAAAATACGCGTAATTTATAATCACACATTGTTACAAAATAGATGTCTGGAACAATTTTAACAAAAACAAATTAAGAAAGAAAGAAACAAATGTACGAAGAAAGATCTGTAATTTCATGCGTAGTATTACACTACAATACGTAAAGCAACGGAAAAAATCTGAACGCGAGGAAACGTGACCTCTATGAATGAAATTCAGCGCGTTCTAGCTACATCTAACTGCGTAATGATGACGCATGTCTATGCATTTCTTTACTAACAGATTACAATGAGATGATCGCTCTACAGTACTTAAGATTTAATAGCAAAATGTATATGCTATACAATGAATTTGGCAGTGAGCGTGCCCCAGAGCCTGTCCGAACATAGCCATGAAAACCTCTGCCATTCTGGCAGTCCAGTACTTAGCCAAAATTAGCTGGAGAACACGAAAACATTAAACTATTTCATGGTCCTGAAAGATTGAGAAAAACAGTTGTTACATAGCTGGTGTTGAACAATTGTCCTTACTTCCATCTCTGACGGTGATATCTATAATGTGATTATTATCGTCTGCATGGGTCCACAGTCTAAGGCCATTTCAGTCCAGCTAGCTGTCTATTGAGTTACAGCGTCGTGGACGACACTCTTCTTGCACGTTTCGCCGTGTAGTCTGGTAGTTTACCGACGTTTCGGAGATACTTGCTACTTCCATTATCAAACCCAAGATGATGGAGGCAGCAAGGACCTCTGAATTGTTGGCAAACATCTACCAGACTACACAGCGCTTCAACTCGGAAGACGGCCATCTTCTGGTTTCTTATCTGTTCTTTATCAGTGCAGAATTGTCAGTGTGCAGTATTTTTATAGTGCAATATTCCTTGGAGCTTCCTATTAACCGATGGAAACAGCAATGACATGGCGCGGACTGATTGCTCGTATAATGCGAAGTGGTACATCTGTATTGTCACATATGTTGGCTGATGACGGCTAAAGGAAGATGGCGTTTTGAAGGGGGGATATTCTTTGAAATGACACAGGGAATGGCTATTCCGAGGATTCCGCCAACACATGTATCCATGTTCGTGTTCTTTTTGCGAGGTTATAAACGTGAAATTGCTACATGTTCAAAAACCGCCCAGTTTTTTTTTTCCAAGAATGTTTATCACATCTTCAATTTTTCCACAGGAATAGCCAGGTTATAATAGGTGCTACGAACATTGTAATTTAATTTTATTCTTGCCGATGTAATATTCACGCCGAAACATGTGCAAACCTATATTTAATATGTGAAAAAAGCTGCCTGAGAATAAATACACACAGAGACTGTGTTTATATACGAGTACCTTCGTCAACTTTACCAACACGAAGTCGTTAACGCCGGATTTGCATTTGCTCTCTCTAATTTTTTTGGGTTATCTATGTACGTTCTGCTTACATGCGTTTATGCGCATAAAATATCGTACACAAATCAGGCACGTGTAATATTCGAGTTCATTTTCTGTACCCCGAACTTTAATGTCGCATATCGTCAGACTCTTGTCTCCATTTCAGCATCGCGCCCTTCAGCGTGACTTGACATTTCTCGGCGATGCCAGTCTGTGTCATCTGGCACTTCCAGGCTGAGAAAGGGACATGAAGGCGAAAAGAGAACAGAGCATTCGAAATGTACGTGTTGCATACTAAGTCCAGGAAGACAGTTCACTTGAGGTATGTCGTGGTTTTCTTCGATTTTTCCAGAAAACAGCACGGACATCACCTTATAACATGTCTTCTCAGTTCATAACACATAATCACGCAAACACATTCACCGTCAAATAATGTCTACAGCAAGTACAGCGTCGTTGAATAATAACTATTTCTTACGTTATGCAATGACGCTGTACAGAGAACACAGCACCAAATAAATTGGGAACCTAACCCGACCGAAATTATAACCGGGTACATCCTGAAAGTAAGTCTGAAATGATACCGATACACCAGAAACAAACCAAAATTGAAGGTACGACAGAGTGCTGAGAGGACAAGGCCTACTCGGACCGAAAAGGAATAAACTACTTAAAGTTGGAGAATATTACAAAAACGATCAAACAAAACGCGGCTTTATACTACGCCACTAATAGCGGTCCCGCGTTCGATTCTAATTTTTGGCAGTCAGTCTAGCACATTCTCGAAAAAGGAACGAGATTAGCACTAACGATGCCAATAGAGACGAGAATTTTAGTGTCGATATAAGTTACTACATTGGGAATCAGTCTTGCACAATTTCAGAAGAAGAAGAAGAAGAAGTCACTTATGTGTAGCGAAAGTTCTGTGAATACGTACACACAGTCCATGTGGTTGACATGAAAATGAACTCAGCTCCTCTTGCTGTATAATTTCCTTCTACTTCTCCGTTCATCCTTGTTGTCCCTATCTTTATCTCTCCTTTCCTTTCCTCAGTCTCTACTTTTCCCCGTTCTTCATCGTTTTATGTCCTGAGCCACACAACTGTCCGTTCAGTGTCTCAAAGGGTAACAACACAAAGTTTCTTTTTGCAAAAAATTGAAAATTGTTTTACATGGTGATTTAAATCTTAAACAGTTA